CGAATGCCATTCATATCATTCGAATGGTGCAAAAGCGACAAGAAAGTGTTGGTGCTTGGTTCGGAATGTATCGTTATTACAGTGTTTCAATTTAGGGGCCTTTTGTATTGCCAATCAAATACGTGCGACAATTCCGAATAAAATGGTCACATTAATTGAAATAGGTATGAATTCCCCTTAAATACACCAAACAATACATATGAACCGGCTAGAAAATTCGTGACCTCAAGAAATTTGTCAAAATGAAACTGCAAAGTGTCCATACATTTTTTTTTATATGAACATGTTGCTCTTTAACAAGTTTCTTGAGCTCACGAATATTCTAACCGTTTCACATGTGGGATCATATATATGCATTAGGTCTCGAAACAAGCAAAAAATCCTAGAAACATATAATACAATGTATGAATCTATCGAAGCCTTTTAATTTGGGTTTGCTCTTGATAATTTACTTCGTAATATTATTGGTAGCCCTTGTTGGCAAAAAAAATGCGCTCACACAGTGAATTTGTTTATTGTATTCGAATTTATTTTGCTTTGTTGTTATTCTTTTGTTGCGGTCTCTGTAACGTAAAAAGTTCTTTTGTTGAAATTTAAAAAAAATATAAATCTTCGAAGTGGAACATCTAAATCAATTACGTTTCGTCCATTTTATGCGTACGTAGATGTGATATGTGTTCTTTAAAAAAATAAAATCAATAAATAGATAAACTGTGACGAAAATATTTGCGAATTACCTTTGTCAACCCCAAGACTAAACTTTACGATTGTTACGAGAGAGAGCACATGGTACGCATTTTGATAAAAGTTTTTCGTTGAAATATTGAAAAATAGAGGAGTTGATTAATGGCCGTCGTTTTGTAAATCTATCAACCGATCTCTATTCCATTACTTTTTTTCACAATCTCACACAAAACACTCTGTTTTTTTTTGCGTTGCAGAATATTTGTAGATTTTCACATTTTCATTGTAATCTCATTGCTGAGCTATCTAAAAGCGAAAGGGAGAAATATAGTGATTTGGCTTCGTTTCCTTATCGGTTGCAATCTTTTTTCGGTTGTGTTTATTGAATTCAATTTGATGCTTTCGACACATTCAAGCAAATGTTCACACATTTGGATTTTATTTCTTTCTGTTTAAATTTTTTTAAATTTTTTCGTTCGAAGTTAATTCTTGTGATGAATGCATGACATAAACTCTATAGCTGGTAATTAAAGGGTGCAGATTTCAGGTTTTTACAAAAATATTACGATGCGTAATTTTAAATTCAATCCATTCACCCCTGGCAGAGCATGAATATGTCACTCACGAAGAGCGCGCTTGCTGGGAGCCGTTCCTAGCTATGAATGCACTGACAAAACTAAGGTTATGATTTTGACAACACCGTGTTGTAAATGCTTACATTCCAACGAATGTTGTGAAGTAGCCAACAATTGTTGTCATTGTGAATACGTACAACGGCATATATTATATGTATTCACAACGACAACAATTGTTGGCTACTTCACAACATTTGTTGGAATTCTAGCATTTAAGTTTAGTTTTGTCAATGTGTGTTAGTGTGACTAACATTGTTTGTATTAGTGTGTGATGCAAAGCACGACGATAACGACAGCTCGGCAACGCTCTATTAGAGATTAGTACCGCTGGCAACCGCAGAACTATATAGAATCATATGGAGTCATTTGGTGGCGCTGGCAAGCAATTTTGCCTTATCGTCATGCTTTGGTGTGATGTATACCAATACGAGCTCAGGAGCGGCTCCTGACAAGTACACCACGCTCTTCTGAGGCGCTGCGCTCGCTAAGCAGGCGCGTTCTTCACAAGTGCGATTTTATACTCTGACCCCTGGTCGGAATCTGATAGATTCAATCTATGCGCGTGTCCCCGCTAAAGACTAATACAGATGTATACATGCAGTAATTCATCTTGGTATCAGTTGACGTAAAATGACGTCATTTACCAATGACAATTTTCATGCCAATCTTTTTCCGTTTACCAATGGAAACACAAGCTGATGGACACTCAATCGATAACATTTTATCTGATTGAAAATGTATTCATCCCTTGTATCTCACTTTTGTTCAAATTTCTTTTGAAATTATTTACGCAGCAAATCAAATTTAATGTTAACCGTTTCCAGCCATTATCAGTTACGTATAGATATCGTAAGAGAAAATAAAACGTATTCCAAATGTCTTTAATCTAAAAAAAAATGCATTTTGAACCTTTTGATAACGAAGAAGATGTTCATTTGCATACTTTTTAAGAGAAATAAATCGCTTTCTACGTTCTATTAACATAAAATACGAATGGTTACTCATCATACTTTATAGTTTTCTTTTCAATCTGTGATAGAATCAAGAGCAAAAAGAGGTAACTAGATATTTGGATATTTTCAGCGAGCCGAATCAGTTCAGATAGTCAATGTCAGGCGCTGCCTGAATTGAATCAGCTGCTTGAAAATATCTCAATATAGTATCGTTAACGCGACCAACACTGAATGAATATTTGCCAATTCAAATCCCTATAGAAAGAGCGTCTGACTAGTAACGAATTGCATTTACTGATGAGGTGCATATTGCTTGAATTGAAAATCGCAATTTTATGGAATTATGCCAAATAAACCTGAGACTAATTTATCAAAAAATTAAAAAATAATTTCTCAACTCAGGATTTCAAAAGCAATCGCATATGTGATTAAATTCTGGGTCAATCTTCTAACCGTTTGAATTTGTTTTTCTATGCCTACCAATCGTTCTATCTTCCTCTACCTACGTTTGTAACCAAACGGCTACGGCCTGTTAGTTTCATTAGTCGGCTGAGTTTTCGCATGGGACCATTCCAATGAACGGATATGCATACACATGCATTGTGAGTAGGTTGAAAAATCACGTCATTTTTCATCTATATGAAAATCGAATGGTTTGTCCATTTAATTGATTGTTTGGTGTTTCGATCTAGTTTTAAGCCAAAAATCCCAATGGTCTCAATTTAATTGAACCGACCAGGTGAAACATCAATCTAGACAACATCAAATAATCTATTATGTTACACGGTAAGTGACCCTATATTTCATATCAAAAATCAATTTAGAGAGATTTCCAATTAGAGTGTTTTGCAAATGTAGCTAATTTGAAGATTTCAGCGTGGTACACAAGAGTATAGCATCACTGGCACACGTTTGAATATAAGATTCTTTAAGTATTTAGAGATCCCAGACGATGTGACACGCGCACTATCGGATAAAACTAACGATAAGAGAAAATATGCTACCTGTACTTACATTCGTATCCGCATATGAGTTATGCAAACTGGATAATTAAACAATCGCATATGCAAATATTTGATGACCACTTTCCACATCTACCCAACCATACTAAACCACCGACCATGTCAAACCGAGTGATGCCAATACAAATTGCAAAATAGGCCGTTATATCATATTTTATTAAATCAATAATAAATTGATTGCAATACATGGACGTGATAATAGTCAATAGAAATTATCTAAACAAAGTGGTACCGTCACTTAAATTTGTATATTACATTGTTGTTTATTAGGCTTGTACTTTGTATATTTTGATTCAAATTTTTTGAGTAGTTGAGAATAAATATGGGAATGAGCAAAACTACGCATTCTTTTGTCGTTTTGATTTCATGCAACTTTTAAAAATAAAATCTCAATTTCAAACTGCTTTTATACTTACATTTTATTCCATTGTCGTATTTTTGTAAGAAAAGTGTCATTGTCTAACAAAAAGGGTTCAATCAACCTCGTCGTCTCTCAGGATTTGAAATGACCCCTTGCGACATTTTTTGAAATTTTCTTACCATTTTTTGCTATTCAATTTTTTCAGCGGCGATGAAGATTTCGGAATTGAAGACCTTTTTCATTGAATCTTCACTTTCCCACAAACGAAAAATGCCCAAAGTTTCTGAAATTACCCACTTCCTCTTAGGTCTCCAACTCACAAGTTTTGGTCTATTATGTCATTGTTAAATAAATTCAGTAACAATTCGCCGTCTTAAAATGAAAATATCACTCATTTACCTATTCACAACATAATAAAATTAAAGAATGAAACATGTTCCCCTTCAAATTTTATGTCGCTTGCCTTTTCATCTCATCGACAGTTGTATAGCTAAGAAAACTAAGTTTGTTATTAACTTAATGTAAAATTTGGGAATTTTTATTTTTTTCGTTGTTATTTTTTCATCCAGCTCATGAGTTTCCTGAATGTATTGCTTCAAGTGGAAGAAGAATGAAGAGAAGGAGTATGTGTAAGCATGTGTTCATCTACTACTTATACTTACCATGCTTATTGTAGTACAACATATTCAATGTATAAAAAAAAAAACCTGCATATTGTAGGTAATGTTGTATTTTATTAAAATATTGTTATGGCTGAAGTTCAGAAGATGGTGACCTAACAACAAACCCTTGAAATTCGAGAACTGTAAGACTTTTGAAATTGCTCTTTTAATTAAAACCACTTCGAAGCGAAAACCACTCATATCCAAATGATATATCCGAAGTGAAACGTGAGTGTACTGTGACAGCGACAGAGTTCCAAAGCAAGTGGCAAAACGTGACAATACACATTGAAAATGATTTTGCCGAAGCTGAAAAAGATGTTCAAACGAAAACCCCTTGAAGAAGTTCTGACGAAAACCAAACCGGAATAAGTATTTCAATAACAATATTCTCGGTCATGCCCGCACAACTCGACGAAGACACAACGTTGATACTGTCATTGAATAGATTTTGTGCGTAGCATGCAAATCAGGAAAATCGAGACCCAAGACAAACGTGATCTGATAAAATCAAAATGACGATCTAATTAACGACGTTAATGAAAATACGATCAAAGAATGATGAATCAAGTTGAGCTAAATATTTTCCCTTATACTTGCCTTCATATAGAGAGAGAAAGAAAAAAAGGGTAAAAGAAAAACCATATTATGATTATGAAATCCATAAATAAAACACTTTTAGGTTATTGAACAATGTCCATAATATATTTTTATAATAATTCCCACATACACAGGGCACGTTGTGAACCATTTTTTTTTCTTTTCAATATTATTTTATATACTTTAATAATTATATATATGTTCATCATTTGTTTTTTTTTGTATATTTTCTATCCGGTTGATTTGCATGTCTCCCGTCGTCATCTTTCCACCTTTGTTCTTTTATAAATCTTTATTACTATGTTCTCATTGTGTAGGTTTTTTTTTGTTTATTTATTTATTTATTTGTTCAAGATATTCTTGTATATTAATTATTAATGTAATTAAGTTATTCTCTTTGCTTTTTTTGTTAAATGTATGTATTATAGGTGTTTGTTGTGTCATTTGTGTGTATGTGTGTTTGTATTTGAATGTGATTGCCACTTTGACGCTTCAAATAACACCCGATGAAATTGTTTTCAAATTCAAAGTTTTTGCTCATCTTTTTGTTTTTCATATGATTGCTTCTAATAAGTTAGAAAACGTTTTAAAAATCAATGGAACAAGACCAATTTTTGTATTGCAATTTGCTCTTATTTTCGTTATTTGATTAGTACAAATCGAAAATTTCGAAAAATGATGCGTTTTTTTTTTGCTTTTGATCATTTGTTTTGAGCCATATTCCATACAATTTTTTCTTCTTCTTCTTCTTCTAATAACTGATTTTTAAAGTCATCACGTTTTCATTCCAAATTAATTGGATTGTGTTAAGTTTTTTTTTTGTTTAGAAGCATATTAGTCAGTTTGGCTGAAGGTATTTAGACGGATTGCAACAGACGAAAATCTAGTTGCATAGAGCCCAATAAAATACATAATTTACTTTCATTGTTTTTGTTGTGAAAGATGTTTTGTTGGTTTTTGAACATTTATAGATTTCTATTTGGTTTACATTCAACAATTTAATTTGATTTTGTTATTTTGCTTGACCAACTCACACAGCGATGAGTGTCTCTGAATTCATTTTGTGGTTCTTTTAAAAGATATCCAAAAATCATTGATCATTATAGAGTGTAGTGTGTATCCTGCTCGGTTGTAATTGTTGATAAATGAACAAACAAAATAAATGAAATGCAACATAACTTAAATTACTGTATTCATTTTTTTATCATTGTTTTCTTTTTGATAATTTATTCAATTTTATTCCATTATATTTCATCCATTTCCACTTTGCTTGTTATTTTTTAATAAAATTAGATTATAGGCTAAGTTTTTCTTTTCCTTATTATGTATTGTTCATACGTCTGCCTTTGATCAATATATGCGAAATTCAATTCACATATACCGTCCATACATACATAAACATTATTTCATTTAAATACATATGTGATTATTTTCTTTTGATCTCACATCATATTTCTTTCTCTTTTTTAGAACAGTATTAACTCTATTTGTCTGTTTTTTTCACATTTTTTTTTATTCACTTTATTGTTCGAAGAATTCTTTGAATTAACGCATAAGCGCTTAAACAATTAGCTTTTGTGTGTGTGTGTGTGTTTTGCTTATATATCTTAAAATAAATGTTGCTATGTAAGTTTTTACTGTTGTTTATGTATGTGTGTTTTGTTCTTTTTTTAAACTTTATTTGGTACATTTTCATTGTTTAATGCGTGTGTTTTTTTTTGTGTGACTGTGAGAGTGTGTTTACATAATTTCAAAATGTTTGAATGTAATTTAAATAGATTTATCTATCGCTTGTTATCATCATAATCATCCTCTTAAAAACTATATATAGTGTATGTGTGTGAGTGTATCTGTCGAATACATATACATTTTTAAACTCCTTTCATTTACTAAAAAAAATGATACATTTAATTCAACTGTTGACCGTCCTGGCGATGGAAAAGAATGATCAAGTCTATTTTTTCCATTTTGGCATTAACTTTTTGGAATTGATCATCAATATTATGCTGCCATCGTGTAAAATTCCAATGAAGATTTTAATGCGACAATTTTGTGCGGAGCAATTTTTCTTCACACAAAAAAAACCCATTTCAATGCAATAACGTTAATGTTCGTTCATTTCAAGTAGTTTGAATTGTATTTGAATTGATTGCATGGGAGATATACGAGAATATTACGACTGTCACATAGCCAAGCGAAGAGTGGCTTTTACCAGTATAGATGTAATAGGAAAAAAAACCATTCTGATTGATACTCATATGAAGCGATTTTCAAATGGTTTCACTGTGCAGTTTTGATTGTGTGTTGAATAAACCAGAGCAAATAAAATCATTTCGAATTAGTTTGTGTAGCGAATATACACTCACACTGTGTCACACGCCTGCGTAAGTGAATAGTGATAAACAAAGTTGCTGTTAAGCGTAGCACATCGCAGTACAAATCAATTTGAAAATGGTTCTTTTGCTCTGGCACAATTAAAAAATCGAACTTTTCTTCATTTTTGCAGCCATTTCGCACACCATCACATAATCTCTGATGAAAAAATTTGTGAGAATGTCTGAAATGTTCGTATTTTTGACATTTTCTGGCGTGCATAAACTTGAGCATTTCATCAAATCGGTGACAGTCAAATCACTCGGTGACAGTCAAATTCGTCTAATATTACGCAATAGTTTCTGTCGCTTGATCTAATACCAAATCTCAATTCAGCCGATGTAACATAAAAATGATGAAAAACCAGGTGATTTAATAACCCCTCTTGGGACAAGTCTTGGACAGTTGCTTCAAATTTGGTTGTGTGTGTAGAAGGGAGGGTTTTGTATTCGTTCTTTATCTGGTTTCAGGAAATAAATGTTATGTAATTTTCTTTTGGATAAACGTTGATAAAAACTTTCACTTCTTTTTCTCGCTGGAAAAAATATGTCGTTTTCTTAATTTGTTTTTTTAATTGTTTTCACGTATTGCTATATGGGTTTCATGTGTAATTTTTGTTTTTCATGATAATGAATATTCGATCACAGCAAAGTGTCCGTGCTTTTATTCGGGAGAAAGGGAGCTTTCACTTGCTGTAGTGTGTGTTAGACAAATATAGTCGAAACGACCCATAATCATTGGGAGCCAAAAATATAAATTGAACTGAAGAGAAACAGGCGAAACTAAACAAAAAAAAAAGTATTGACCAATGCCATCTATTCGATCTTTTGTTTGCATTTTACTATATATACTCTTGGTGTAAAGTTGCGATAATAAATAAAATTGTTTGAATTCATTCCGAATTCAACATTAAAACACTTTTAATTCAATGGTCAAAAAATCGATACAAGTGTTTTTTATGCCAAAATCGGATGTGAATGTTTGATTTGTTTCGCTGTGTATATGTTTCGTATGCTTCTCAATACTCTTCGGTTCTGTTTTTATTTTGGCTTAGTATCGTTTACACTTGTGCATAAATCCCTCCTTAAATGTGTACCGTTAAAATTTAGCTTAAATCACTTGTTCATTTTGTGTGTTGTGTGTGTGTGTGTGTGTGTGTGTTGTGTTTATTGCGCTTTCTTCATCTTCATTAAATGCATTTTGCATATATAATGTTTCATTTGTTTTATTTTGTTAAAATGTAGTGTATATAGCAATAATGTAGTTCATTTGATGACTGTGAAAGTAACGTGTGTGTTCAGATTTGTTTTTTTTTTTTTTTTAAATAATAATACATCAGATGGACAGACCAACATTTTACATTTTTTTTCTTCATTATTTCGAATTTATTTATAATTTTGAATATTGAAATGCCCAAAAATCAAAACAAAAAAAAATATTTCTATTACATTTAGTTAAATAACTAGAGAACCGACGGACTTTCACAATCACCAAATGAACGGAATTCTTTTTTATTTGTTTTGTTTGTGGTTGTTTGTTGTTTGGTAAAATTACGTAATAATTATAATAAGAGTCGTATAATATTGATTGACTTTGTCATCAAAGTTTAAAAGCTTTATGTTTTGTTTATAATTTGTTTTTTTTTTCATTCATTCATTTATTTAATTTGGAGCCCGTACTATGTTCGTGTAGTAAACATGCGGTTCGGTTCATCAATTCATCATTTCATAATTGTGCATGAATTGTATTTAATAGCGAGAAAAAAAGCCGGAAATGCCCGAATCAATACTTTGAATATCTCGATCGCTTAAAATGCGAATGGATTGGAGGAAGAGGGACTTTTCAATCATGTATGTTAATGATTGATTTGACAAGGAAATAAAACGTGAAAATAACCAAATAAAAATTTGAATCCATATCAAGTTTACTACAAATGCTCCATTTTTTTTTTGTTCTGGTAATTTTCTTTCTTTAAATATATGATTTCGCTTTCATAACACCGATTTCTTTGATTTGCACTTGCAAATACATGTGCAATACTTCTTCACTTTTCTCTCATCGTTTATTAGACAAAGAAAAATAAAACATAGTACAGGCCATTTCAATAGTGATAATCAATAATTGTAATATATCATTTTAATAATAAAAATGGTTATTGCTTTATTCCATCATCTTAATCTTATTCACTAGAAAATACATATATTTTTATATATATTCATATATAATATTTTTGTTTGTTCTTGATGTTGTTGTTGTTTCTGTTACCATCGTCTCATTAAATTACCGAAATTGGCTTCTTCAAATACGGAAATTAAAATTGAATATTACATGGAATGCGCACATTTTACGTCTATGTTCTTTTTTGATGTTTGTTTTTGTCATTATAAAAACGCATTCAATGCACAATTCATTTGTTTTTTTTTTTTTCTTTCGTTGCGAAGTAGAAATGTTCAATTACTTGTTTAAATGTGTTGTATATATTTATTCTGTTTTTTTTTTTCATTTGTCGATAAGTTATGGCTAATATTTTCCATCAATGTGATACATACACACTTCGAATACATCGTTCATATCATAAGGGCAGCCAAGTGGGAAAGTGTTTTTTTTTCTTCTTTATAAATAATGCTTTAAGAATGCTCGAGTTTGATTTTATTGGCGTCCATTGTAAATAAATGTGATTTACATCAAAATAAAACGATTTTCTATTAACTTCGTTTTGTGGGATTTTTTTTAATGTATGTTTGTTCTTCCATTGAAATGCTTCCGACAAAATGCTTCAAATCATTGACGCGTCTTTCACGTATTTTTGCTATCGTTTTGAATTGCCATTCGATGATTGACATTTATGTCGCGGCTTCATATCTAGTGATGCTGCGTTGGGTATTGTCAAGTTACTTGAACCCGAAACGCATATAATAATAAAAATGTAACAAATAATGTTTTTTTTTTGCTATGAATTGCTATGAAAAGCATCACATTAAAAATTGATGCGTGACTGTTAACATCTTTGTTTGCTCATCATCATCATCATGAAGAGATGCACCAATAAATATTATTTATTATTTGGTATTTATTCATTTTGGCAATTCGTTTAAATCTTCTTCTCTTTTTTTTCTCTTAATTTCTCTCGTTCTTTTGTTTCCCTATGTTTGTGTATGTATCTGTTTACAGTAAGGCCCATGACACGGAAATACTCTTGAGTAAACAAATTTCGCATTTTTTTTTTAAATAGAAATTTTCTATCATACTTATTCTTGTTTAAAAAAATTTATTTGCATTGATTTATTCTGCTTTGATTAGTCCATTTTCAAAACAAACAAAAAGAAAATCATCGTAAAGTATCCTGCATATTTTTTATGGCATGATTTTTTTTGTGTGTGACACAAAATTGTGTTGATTCCATATATGTTTTTTGTTTTTAAATTTATTTTGGGTAAAAAATAGGCGCAGGAAACTCTTCAATGCAATTAAAAATGTTCATTTTTCTTACGCTTTTTTTATTCTAATATATTTGGTCTGCTGTCAAAGTTAAAGACGAGCCAGAAATGCCGGAAAAAGAAGCATTTTCTTTTGGAAAGTAATAAAAATATGTATGACATGCCCGTTTTTTTTGTTGGAAAATCAATTGGAATCATCACGAGAATAATCATCTAAACAATTTCTGTTGAGCTTTTCGCTCCATTAAAATGGAAGATACTACAATTGTTTCAAGTTTTTTTTTTGTAGTTATCTGATTTGTGTTTGACAGAAATGTGTGATCATTTATAATTTACAGCCACCGCGTACCGTGCGTACATTTTTCGTAACATTTCGATACATTTAATTTGACAGCAAACCGAACTAGCCGAATAAAAATGACTTGAATATAGACTACATGTGGATTCAAGAAATCTTCATACATACGATTTGAAAATACACACATTATACCAACGGTGTCATTTTGATGAAGATGAAAAACATACGCAATAACATCCATTTCAGGGATTATTCATCCAGAAAAATCTCAATAAGTGATTTTGTGAATATGTATTCGATGGGGAAACAAGTCGTATTTTGTTTAAAGGGATCGTTTGATATTTTTTTTCATTGAATTAATTGTTCTATTGATATTGAAAGAGTTGTTAAAATATTTCCATCCATTTTGAAATTATTGAAAATTCTTATGGATGACAATAAATTCGATTCTGAATAAACAATCGCAATCATTTGCTCGAAAGCGGTAAGCGGTCATTTCATGTTAGAAATTTCTATGCGAATGTACAAACGATTCACTGGATATGAAATTTTCAATGTTAAAGAGTAAAATAATGAAATTGTGTACGAACCAGTCGCATTTTCAAATTCGTCGTAATTTTATTTCATGAGTCCAGCGTCCAAATTGAATAATTTTTCAGCATTTTATCATGTGGATTTTATGATTTTTTATGATTTCATTCTCATTTGGTTCAAAGTGTTAAATATTTATTCATTTATTTATATAATATATAATATATTGTCAAAAATTGCTAGAAACGTTCGTTCGTTCGGAACGTTTGTTTGAGAGTATGCATACATTAAACTGATGTATTTTCATTAAGGTATATTTTTTCTCATTTTCATTTTTTTAGTTTTTTTTTTTTTAATTTGAAATCACTTCTGACAACAACGGAACACTAAAATATTAACGAAACACTGAAAGCTATTCGATTGAAAATGTTCCGTTTGGGGTTTATTGTCAAAATGTGATTACAGAAAACCCTCATCCATCAGCGCAACTCCAATATACAAACACATACATGCACATTCAAATGTTTAAATGTGATGGCACCCATCTAATTCGCACATATCGTCGATTGTGTCCGGTTTCCTTTTAAATATGAACGACACAATTATTGGTTAAATTTCAATCGGAAAACACCTTACGGTTGAATATCCATTATTGGAATATAATTCTAAATTTACGCTTAGTTTAAAATATTTTCCTTTTTTTTTTAATTTTATATTTTGCTTTAGAATATTATTTATTATAGGTTATAGTTTTTGTTGTTGTGGTTGCTGTTCTCATCATTTAAATTTTGCTTATAATTTAAAAAACAGAAGAATTGCCTATTATTGAGGAATTAGCATTGCTATGGGAGGGGGGCTGGTTGAATCAAACGTATACATCTTCATATTTCGAATATATTGTTCGCGGATAGAACGAAAGTTCGCATTTGGCAAATATATTGTATAATGCAGCAAGTATAATATGTGCTTGCGAATGCAGTGCATTTGTGTTATTGTGTGTATGAGAGAGTGTGAATCTGATGTGTATGTATATTTGGAGAAAATGGTTATTTACACTGTTTACATGGGTCAAGTGTAAATAATGTGAAAAAAAAGAAAGTTTTGAAAAGGCCTGTAAGTAATTCAATATAAAGACGATTTGCTAACAAAATAAAAACAAACAAACAAACAAACAATTTTGTTTAAGTAACACCATATAAAATAAGTTGACGACGAAAATATGGACATTTTCGTCATAAGTACAACTTTCCGTTAATGTGTGCGTGCAACAGAGTGCTGCAAATTATTAAGTGTCATGAATGTTCTTCTTGTTCTTTTGTGGAAAGTACGGAAGCCAATATGGAACAAACCACTTAAAAAGTCAAAAGTTATATATATAAATTGTTTATTCATGAATGTTTTTGCTTTTTTTCTTATTTAATTTTATTTTTCGAAGAAAAATAACGAAACTATCGTATTAAAACTTAATTTCAATTATAATGGATTGCTTTTTCGTCATTGTTTAACATTTTCTTTTTTGGTGGTTTTCTACATATGCTTCTTCAAAATAATATCATTTTATTGTATAGGTCAATATCAAAAGGACTGTGTGCAATGCAAGATATTTAATCGGTCCAACATATGGGAATCAAATAGGATGGTACGTGCGATTTGTTTGATGATTTGGCCATTGGTTGCGCTCTCAAAATGTGTTAGCCATCAATGCTGCTCATATTGTTTGGTAAATATTTTCTTAAATTATGTTTTTTTTTGCTTCTCATAAAAATTGTATTAATTGACGATTAAATTGAATTATTTGACTTTTGTTGTTTAATATTGTTGTTTTGTATGTATTTTCATTCTTTTTTTTTATTAATTTGTGTTTATTTTCAGTGGTTATTAATCTAAGTTTAGCTTGGGAAGGGAAAAAAATTGTTCGTTAAAAAATTTGTGAATTATTGCATAAAATAAATTATTGCTTCATGATTTTCGTGAAAAATTAACTCCATCATCTTCCGTATAATAATCATTTTTTGATATTTGAGATAAACGAAATATTCATCTAAGTTTTTGCATAATCGAATGCTTTCAAAAATTGAAATGCACATATTTGTTTTCAATAACACACACACAAAAAATCGTCATTGGTTTATTTATCGAAAACATAAAAATAAAACAAACCAGAACCATTTTCGATATATGTCACACTATGCAAAAAACAAATGACGGTCAATTCAGAGTGACTTTACACGTTTAGCGTTGCAGTTTCATCCGCTAAATGCTATCATTTCTATTCATTTTTTTTTTATTCCTTTCACAAAATAATATTCATGACAGTAATTTTTCTTTGTCATGATCGTAAATAGAAAGTAGCACACACATATATTTAAGTGTTTTATTTCCACTTAAATCAACACCTCTTCGGCTAACTTACAACAACAAAACAAAACAAAAAAATAATTATCATAAAATACTCAAAAAGACATACTACTTATTTTTATATTGCTTAATTTTCGTGTTGTTGTTTTCTTTTTGTCTCACTTATGTTACTATTAATTGTTCGCAATTCATGAAAATAAAAAACTAAAAAGGAAACGTACGGCTTTTGTTCTCCATTTTCTTTTATATATGTGAAGGAAATGAATGTAATTTGGTTGAACGGTATGTGGCACGTAAAACGAAATACAATTCATTATTTCGTTTGATCGATGGAGATCTTCACGGTATAATAGTGCCTTTCAATGATATACCGCAGGCATGCAAAATATAATTCATTTCTGAACAACAAAAAAACTAATACAGAAAATCGAATTTACAATCATTTCAATGGTCTGTTACTGCTGTTTACCGGATATTTTGCGTGATGTAAGTAGACATTTGATTTCCATTCCGTTTCGTTCGACAAACATTCGGTTGGAAATAATGTTTGGGTATATATATATTATTTGAAAAGATTTCGAAAGTGGTGACTCGACTGGTGGTTGGAGTAATAGGGAAAAAGTATGTAATTCACTTTGATACGAAGGAGAGACTGTAGTTCGCTGCAGAGTCGAAAGCCAAAATCAACCGGATTTCAAAAATTGAACGAAAATTTGAAACGAAAAAAAAAAAATGTCGACAAAGAAAATAATAAAACCAATAGACTCAAGACTATATGTTTTCCATGAGCACGCAACTTCAATCAAGAAAGAAACAGAACAAATGCATCTGAATCATATTTTGCCACGTGTTTTTTAGATTTCTCCGATATCGGGGTAAACAGGTATACTTTTCATACTATTTATTTGAGTTAAATGCTCGTCTCTTTAGATAAAATAGTTCAGCTTAACATTATTACTCATATGTTTGTTTGTTTTTTTTTTATTCACTTTTGTTTCATTTTCATCGTTTTTCTTTCAGTCAAAAAATAGAATTTTTCGTTTTGCACCTTATCAGAAGTGAAGTTATTTAGATTTCGTCATTTTCATTAATATTTGAATTTTTAACTGATTTCATTTAGCTTTTTTTATTTTAAAAGATTTGTTTTTTTACCATTTATCTATTCTAATAATTTTGTTCCTATCTATAACCTCTTTTCATGGCCTTCCTAATTTATTTATAAGGTTTTGTTGAGTGTGTGTGTGTTAATCGCTCTATTTCGGTTTTCATGTGTTCAAATGTGTTATTATGGTTTTCTTTTATCTGAAGTTTATGTGCACTGTTATGTTATGCGAAATGAACCAATCGTAGAGCTATAACTATCTCTTTGTGTTTAATTTTCAATTTAAAATGTTTTGTTGCTTAAATTAAAAAAAAAAAAAACAAATCAAATCCAATCGAATAGATGAAGATTTGACATTGTATTACTTAATTCATTTTTCTATTTGAGAATTGGTGTCCGTTGTCATTGCTCATCGAATTTCGTATTTAAACATTTTTTATTAAAAAAAAAAACATTTCTTAATCAAATTAAACGGTAAAATTTGAGAGAGGGGGTTGGCGGGCGCATGGTAAAAGTGAATAATGGTTATAGTTTAACAAAGTAATTCTTATTAGCGAATTGTTTGGGGGGAGAGGTGACACATTTTGTTTATTTAAATTTTTCATTTGCCTTCCATTGTTCTTTAAATTTCATTAAATATGTGTTGATCACTTGAGTTAAAATTTCAATTAATTTTACACACGATTAAATTGTTATTCTTCAGGGGGTGTTGGCTAGAGAGTAAAGGGTATATTTTTTTTTATTTTATTTACATGGCTTCTGTCCATATAACACTCATATTATCATTTAAATAGCCCAAAATGTGTGACTTTTGATTTTTACAGAACAATGGACAGAAATTCAACCACTTTGGATTTTGAGTGTGTATGTGTTTCGTTTTTTTTTTTTTAATTTAATTGTTTTTATTTATTTATTTTTATTTAGCCTAACCATAAGATAATAAGATGGAAAGAGATAACTAAAAGATTTGTCACACATTTGTTCGCGTCGACAATTTTTTTTCGTACGGTGTTTGGTGTTGTACGGAATGAGCGATATTGAAAATGTGGCCAAAATCTAAACAACACATGAATTAACTACACTGATAATTTGTTTTAGTTTGGTTTGTTCCATCATCAATACTTCAATTATTCAAATTTAATAAATTAATTAAAGCAATTGCCTTTTAAATATTTTGTTTGTTTCACGTTTTACATATTAGTTACATAATTCGTGTTCATTTCATTGTTCTACTCAAATAACTTTTGCTAGCACGGTTTTTTTTTCTTTGCTAAACTAATCCTCTCGAGAATAATATCTTTTGTTTACTTCTCGGTGTTCATGTAAAACTTTTATTATTGATTTCATTTTTTTTTATTTCCTTATAAATATCCGCTGAAAAAAAACCTATTCATTCTGTTCTTTTTTTTATAGTATGATTTATATTTGTGCCTGTATAGGAGAGAGAGCGAGAAAAAATGTCCGCATATTCTTTGTTTTCGTTTAAATACAATATTTTCTTCTCATATCATCATTTATTTGGTTTAGTATTCTGTTTAAAAAAAAACAAACGGAAAAAAATGAACTCACCTCACACACGTCACGCTTTAATGCATCACTTCAATGCTCATCTTTTTTTTACAAGTTTCAAACGGGAGGAATATACTTTTTGTATGTATATCAATGGTTGTTATGTGTTATATACTTCAGTAATTATTCATAAATATAAGAGTGTGAGCGTTTGTCATTTAATGTTATACACATTCGACAAACCGTTTCATTGAACGTTGTTTCTATTTTCTTGCCATTGTGACAAATTTGCGTACGAGATAAGCCGTACCCTTTCAAATTCGCGGCCAAATTCATGCTATTAGAAGACTTAAACACAAAGACGTTGCAATGTCCATTGAACTCGTGAGTGTTTTATTTTAAAATGACTTATTGGATTTAAGTTAGCTATTGAAATGTCTTCAATTTATATGTATTTTATGCAGCGATATTTTTTTTATTCATTTCTCACATTATTCAAAGAGTTCGAATGAATTTTTATTATTATTGCTTTTATTATTATCGTTTACTATTTGTTTTTACACTACCAGCTTTGATTAGGTTCATTTATTTAAAGGATTAATCCAACTATCGTGGATGCGTTGACCAAATTAAACCTTCGAGCATTCATATGAATGCAACAATTGTGGTTTTTTTCGTGTTCTCTTCTTTTCCTCAAGAGCAAGCAGATGAAAGACAATAATGCTGTTGAATGAAGATATTTTATTGGAGCGAAATGAATCAAATGGCAGATAAAACAAACAAAAAAATGATGATTTGAATGAAATGGCAATTTGCAGCCAAGAAATACATATTTATGTATTTTAAAGCAAGCAAGCAGATGCAAAGATAAACCGAAATGAATAATCTGTTGTGCAAGTTGTTGAACGCGCAATGCGTTTGCCATTTTGATAGAGAAAAATAACAGTCAAACAGTTTTTTTTTGCTGATAACTGAAAATTTATTGTTTGTAATTTGTAGCTTGTGAACAATCAACAAGTAAATAGATTTTGTTCGTTTTGTGTTCCGAAAAAAAAGACACAAAGAAGCACTAAATAAAATGCTCATTTCTTGTCTATGCCAGTGACCATAAATTTTCGTGGACAGTTTACCCATTCCAAATTGGCTCCGTCAGTCTGTTGCCGCTGTTGTATTATGCGGCGAAATTAACGCACATTAAATTCGCATTTTTTTTTTGTAACAAACAAATGCAATCAAATCAATTTCCAGCCACACAACAAATAAAAATTCCGACGATTTGAGCTCAAGCTGAAAAAAGAGACCATATTGGCGTTTTTCATCTTTCAATATGTTAACATTGGCATCGCTATGCATTGATCCAAAATTCTTATCACAAAAATGAAACGCAAAAAGAAATATTGTGAGCGTGTCTGTGTGTTTGCAGTGAGGAGCGAGAAAGAGAAAGTGAAATGCTTGTCATATTGTGTACTATAGCAAGAAACTCGTGGGCTTTTTGGTTCGATTGAAAAAGAAAATGGGACTACAACACACTAATCCATGAATGGTCAATCGTTTTGCTTTTTTGCAATTTTATTGTCATGTAACGTAATCTATCGTATGTGTCAGCACCATCGAGCAATTGTGTCCATTTTATGGACACATGGGTTCCAGGAATGAATTATCTAAATATGCAAGTTATGCTGTGTACCTGATTTCTTTTTTCGGGTTTGGCTGCAAGTAGTTTCGATTGATTAGAGAGCATTTTTATTGGCACGCTGAGAACATCAGCTCGAATTAAATAATTGTGCCGGGTTTTATTTGAGAATTGCATGTTCATGTTGTCACATTTCATTAAGTTCAGGATTATATGTAAGTTATTTATATATAAAAAAGAAGAAGACAAATGCAAAATGTCAATATTTGCAAACTTGCTATAGCTTGGTCCATTTTGGTTTTCTTTTTTGGTATTTATTTAATTCGTTTTTTTTTGTGATTTTGTATTTATGTGTCACATAATATGTGATTTTTTTGTTGTTATGTTTTCGTTTAAAATATTCAGTTATGTTATGTACAGACAACAAAAAAAATGTAATTACCTAGAATTTACAGCTGTTGTATCGTCGCGTGTATACTCATATATGAGTTTAAGTGAATAATCAATTTACATCACTTAAGATATTTCTATATAAGTTTTTTGTTTTCGCTGTGTATATTTACTTTAAGGTTGTTTCGTCTTTTGTTTTGTTTTTTTATTCAAATGCTTACTAATCGTTTGTTTACAAGTTATCTGTGTGTGTGTGTGTCTCGCTTGCTGTCTTTAATTTGTCTGTTAATAGTTCACTTATTAAATGATTATTTCTTTTTAAAACGTTGCATGCTCTTTGGATGATGGGATAGTGTTTGTTGAGCATTCAAAGGGACTAGGTTTGTTCACTTTCTCATATTTCGAAATTGTAAAGAAGATACCCTGTTAAATATTCATCTCTTTTTTCTTTTAAATTTAATTTAAATGTTTTGTTATTATTTTAGGTTTTTATTGTTCATTTATAAATATGAAGGTGCATGTTCATTTCATTTATGTTTGGTTGTTACGTGTGTGTGTGTGTGTGTGTTTTCGTGATTAGCGAGATTTTGGTTTTGGTAAAAAAATGTCAAGCGACGACGGCAATTGTCTAGAATCTAACAAAGCATACTTGTTTTTTGTTGTTGTTGTTTATTTATCAATACGAAAAAAATGTTATAAAATGCTCTCTATAGAAATTATGACATGAGAATGTATTGCAAATTGTCGTAATTGTTGGTTGTTCTAAATGTGTTTTGTTTTGTTCTTTTAAAATTCTTCTATTCAATTTGTAAGTAGGCTTATTCTCACTGGCATAAGAAAACGCATAAATTCTCTGTGATTTTATGTTTAAGTGTTTTGTTTTTGTTTTGGTAAATTTCTTTGCTTTTCGAATATTCACATTTTTTTTTATTCTTTGTTACTAAATATTTGTTGAAGGAAAAACACGGTGTAAAATGCGATTGGTTTTATGCTGATAGATGCTATTGCTTGATGTGCTGTTGCTACCACAATTTTATCGATTCTTGATTTGATGCGTCATTTTAATCGATTTTTTTCAAATGCATATAATTGATTGAAACTTAAAATAATCCATTCGTCTATAAAGCGTGTAGGTGTCATCGGGTGCAGCAAAGTGCATTGTCGAATAAAATCTAAAGGTTGGTTATCCGAATATATTTATGCAACATTTGCTGTTTTCAATATATTGAAAAAAAAAATGCTGATTATGTTTGAACAGAAAAACACGACTATTGAATGATAAGCAAATGAATTGAACCAAAACTCAAAATGAGTAATGAACGTTCTTCTCAATGCATTTGCTACGAAGAACATACTGTAATCCAATCCAATTAATGGTTTTTTTTTCATTTTGGCAATCAATGCATGCTTTTGTATTTGTAAATTGAACGCAAAATTTGGATACAATATACATTATAAATGCATAAACTCTGTAAGAAATATTTGTTCAAGTACTTCAAGTCATTTGTCGTTTTTTTTGCTGTAAAGTGTTGAAATCAAATGTTTGGTTGAAAACTACCACGTTTGATAACTACCATTCAAAAGATAAAAGCTTCATTTATATATCTATATTGTATATATAATTTCGTCATTCCGTCGGAAGACAACGCGGTATCTGCCAGCTGAGATCCACTTAAATCTTTTTTTTTTCATCTTCTTTTATTTCGAATGGCGAAATGTAATTTACAACTTATGAACGATTCACACTGAGTGCCATCAACATTGTTGATGTTTTCATAAGCTTTTTCCATTGGCAATCATTTTGTGAGTTAAACTACACTTTCGTCAAATAAACAAAACAAAGCACTATGTGAATGTAAAATCGATTTTTCCAACGGATCTTTTCTTCAATTGATTTCGATTCAAAAAAAATCCTTTGAACCATTGGGGGATATGAGCAGAAATCTGACATCTAACTGAAATCTCTTTTCAAATGATCGGATCAATTCATATCCACGTACAGTTGGCCATTACTAGAAGTTATTTGTAGTAAATAATAACAATAACATTTGTCTCTTGTTATTAATGCCAACTGTTTCGGCTACGAAAAGGAACGAAAATAAGATGTACCAATACAACAAAACTCTCTCTCTCTCTCTAAGTATGAACAATATTTTTCGTTATAATATCAAATTGTGTAGGTATTTCATGTTCACTCTTATACGCACTTCGTTTCAACATATTTTATATGGAATAGCATAGAATTTGTCTTTTGTCCTAGCTAACATATATAAAATCGGAATGTTTGCTTCAAAATATGATGACAAACTCAACGAATTCGGTTGTCCATGCCCGTTAGTTCATCTGCATCGCAAAAAAAATTTGCCCAAATTTCTATCAACACTGAAAATATTGCAAATATGTAGAGATGGATTGTTTTATGCGTGTGTGTGGGGTGTGTAGAATGTAACACATTTTTTTTAAAGAAGAAAATATATAATTGTAACATTCATTTGATTTCTCATTCTCTCTATAACGGCTGCGTTCATAATATATTCAAATGATGCAAGTTTCCATTTAAATATTTTTTTTTTGGATTAAATTTTACACATTCGTCCTAACATTTTCCCTCATAATTCGTAATAATTTTATTTAGTTTTTTTGTTGTTGTTATTGTTGTGGATTGTGTGCGGGTAGGCAAATGAATCCCGTTTCGATTCATTCATTTATATATATAATCATGTATATATACTTATATAGGTTAATTGATGTAGAATATTTTTATTCAATATTTTTTGTCATTTTTGTTTTTATTTTATGTAAGTGGTTTATTTTGCAGCGCAATTTATTGCAGCCGATTTTTGATTGCAGTTGAAAATATATTTTATTATAATTACTTTATTTATTTATTTATTTTTTTCTTTTAATTTTAATATCTATATAGAGTTTTTGTCTGTTTGTGTTCGTTTACTGTGCCTTGTATAAATGTGTGTGAGTGTGAATATATGATTTTATTTCAGTGGATTCTTCTTCTCATTAAACTATTCTTTGATTTCCACAATTTCATTTTTTCCTTGTTTATTTCATCTGATATAAAGTTTTATACTTTGCCTGTTTGTTGTTTTTGTTTATTGTTAAGCTGATTTTGTGTTCTCTTTATCAAACAATATGTGTTTTATTTAGATGTGCCTCGCATGGAAATCAATTCAATGATAACCGTTGGTGAATGCAGCTTGTATTAATGGACCCTGTAAGAAATGTAAACAAAATAAAAAGAAGAAGTAAAAAAACCATTCAATACAATTAATCAATTTATCGCAGCAAAAATGAACCAATTATTGAACCAAATGAACCACGAATTGAATGGACACCATTTTGAAACATTATTTGAATTAAATTAAATCATTTTTTTCAATTAAATCATTTGACGCATTTTAACAACTTTAGTTTTTTTTTTCAACAATCGTTTTGATGTTCATTATAACAACATTTAATTATTGTCATATTAATTCTAATTGAAATGGCTATGATTTATTATGAGCGAAAGAGAGATATATAGAAAGAGAGAGGGGTAGAAAGAGAAAACCAATAAATTCTCCCAAAATTAATAAATATTCTAAATATCAATTTTCATTAAGCATATATATGAAATTGTTGTTTTTTTTCGAATTCGGTGTGAAGTAATTAGTGCTTTGTTTAATTAGCATCAACAAAATGTTGATAATTTCAAATTGAAATGTTTGAAATTGGATCTTTGTTATGTAAGTGTCATGTGATATATCAATATTTGATATGAGTCATAATGAAATTGGCCTGAATTGAAAATTGCAGTGTTCGCAGTGCATAAAAATTGACGCACACCAAAATTTGCAGATCAAAATGAAAGAACGAATGGGAACAAAAATGACATGGAACATGAACCCGAATATTGAATATTGAATACAATACAAACGGTATACTTTTTGTCCATGCCCGAAAAAAAAATTGATAATTTTCCAATATAATTCAAGCCAAAGATGATTGACGGAAATGACGTGCTTGCATTTGGAATGATCGACGCTGTATATTCGTGTGTATATCTTTTGACGTGTGCATATTTAATGACTCGTCGAATCGGCACCGCTATTGTGTCAGTTAATGCATTTATATCCGAATCCGAATCTGAATAATACATTCGCTAACGATTGCACAATTAATTTTGCATGCAGTTGCAATTATTTTTAGATTTTTATTTGTATGTGTTTTCACTTTTTGGCCATGTGTGTGTTTCCACTGCACTGCGTTTTATCTATAAATGAGTATATTGTACAATGAAATGGCTATTTTAATCAGAATTATTGTAATCCTGATAGCGGTTAAATTAACCATTGTATAAGTAATATTCATCTCATCATTATCTGTTTGGGTGTCGTTTGAAATCATCAATTTGCATTCAATGGTGCAACTAAGCTTGTAAATATAGGCGCGTTGAGCGAGCGCCCGCGCTTGAATGCTTCAATTTTAATGGACAGAAAGAAATAAGTGCACAATATGATTGAGAAGCGAGATCGAGAGAGACAGAGAGAGAGAGAAGGGGGGGGGGTGTAGAGGTAATCAAAATGAACTTACAGGACTGTAATTCAATGGTGCTCGACTCACTGCAATGGCTGGGAAGCCGGATGGTTGGGGGCTCGCCGCTTGCACATATCCTACGCTATCGGCTGCACTAGAACTATACATATCAATTGTTGGTCCTGGTGAATTGGTCGCTGGAAATCCGCCTCTTGTTGTAGTTGTATGTGGTGATGCTGGTGGTCCAAAACCTTGTGCTGCTGCAGCAGCCGCCTGATAATTATTCATGACTATATTCATACGAGAGAAAAACGAAAAAAAAAAAAATTGAGTTGAAAAACATTAATATACAAAATACGATGTGTGACGATATAATCGAAAAATAATTGATTTTATTTCAACTGACTTTTGTTTATTAAATTCAATCGGCTCAACGAAACGCGGAACCGGCGTGAGAAGTGTAATTTTTGCAATGATTTTCACATAAGAAAAAAAGTGGCAACGGTATACACGATATTTTTTGTTCGATTTTGATTTTGCTTTGATGCGCTACGATTTACGCGTTTGGTTTATGGAATGATTTTCAAGCATTTGCAAAATTAACAAATCATATACACAATCAATCGACACACACAAATAAAAACAAATTGGTGGCAAAGGCAGTGTCAAACACACAAAAATTATATTCAGTCGAATTTGCTTTCATTTTGATTTAAATGCCATCCCCAAGCGGGGGGATATCAATGCATGATTCGATTCAATGGATGTATTTGTGTGTGAGTGTGTGTGTGTGTGTGTGGGTGGGGAGGGAGGTTGTGCTTTTCTTAAACATAAATGTGGCCTCACCTGAAAGTGCTTGTGTTAGGAGTGGTGTATTGTTGTTTGGTGTTAGCTGGCCGTTTGTCAAGTCATGAACTGTAAAAAATACATTAAATGAATTAATTTGATTAACTGATGTTGATGATTTTGGCCGGTGAGGTTTCTTCTTTTTTATTAGATTCACCAATTCAATCAAAATTTTAATATTTTATTTCGAATCATGTGAGAAGTTTTTTCTTTTCATTTCTCAAAAACCAATTTTGTGGTAGCAAAATATGTTGCATTTTTTTAAAAATCTATAATTGTTATCTTGGCAGGTAAATGTGTATAGTTTGAATGAATTGTTGCGCAGTCACACGAATATTTCAGCCAATTTGTGTAAATCGTCAACACAATCACATTTATTTTTAATTGAATGTGTGTTTTTTTTTTTGTATATTCTCAATTTTGGCAGAGATTTTGCGTTTCTCATCGAAATTTAATCAGATTGTTTGTGATTGCTAAAATGCACAACAGATTCAAACATTATAAAAATCAATTAAATATCATAAAATAATTGATTGTTAAAACAGTTTATTTTCTGTTTTTGTTAAGAATGGTTAAGCACAATTCAAAACGAATAAAAAAAAAATTAACATGAATCATCAGAAACTAAATGATGAATACGAAATATGAATTAATGAATTTACGCACAAAAAAAGTGTATGCAATGCACAACGAGTTCGTTAGTGAACACAAATTTATTACAGTAATCCTATTCAACGAACTTTTGTTAAATTAAAATGAGATAATGATTTATTTATTTTTAAAAAAGTTCTGTGTAATGTAAGTATTTGTGTAGGGTTTTTTTTAAATTTTAATTTGAGTTATATAATCTCTAGGAAAAGCGATCGATTTTCTATATAAAATTGAAGCATTGAGCGACGAATACATATACGTTTAGAACAAATCGAGAATGGTTTAGTTCTGTGAATTGGTTTATGTATTAAAATCTGTGTAGAATATATACATGCAAACATGCACCCGAAATCATTGTATTACGCTCATTTACGTAGTTTAATCCAACTCCGATGACGTCATCAAATCGATCAATGCCCAACATATGTGGGTCTACCAAATCTAAAATTATATTTACTTATTGCTGACCAAACAACAATTATTCACATCTATGTATGTTTGTTACGTAAAATTCAGAATTTTTTTTCCAATTTTTTTTTTGGATATAAGCAAATGAAAAGGTTGAATGTAAATGTGCACATCCATTGGCCAAATGATAATGGCATACATTCAAAAATCGGAAATGATTCTCTCTATCGCTTGACCATTCACATGGCGCATATATTATGTGCTTAAATGTATGACAGAAAGCGATAAGAACCAAATAGCTTTGCACAGTTTCACCATACAAATCTGTAAATTCGTTTCCGCATTTGCAAGACAACCATATCACATCACAGTCCATGTGTACTTTCTTTCAAACTAACTCCACTCTCTCTATATTACCCTTTTTTTAAAAAAAACATCATCATTTGACTTAAATTTCCGAAAATATTTCCAGTAGACTGAAAATTGATACGAAAAGTCGAGATCGATGCTTGTTCGAGCCGAAAATGTGTAATATTCATATAATTTTGGCTTAAATATATTGTCAAGGTTACTTCATTCGTATAAAGTCATTTCGTTTTGAATAATAATCCGGCAAAACTAGTTGGCAATGTGCAGGGATCGTTGGTTGAAAATATATTGGTTTCGTTATGCCTGGCTTCGTTTCATTATTATCATCCTGCGATAACGTTAAAAAAGGATATTTTATACCGAATTTAATACGGTTCGCATATAAATTTACCTTAAACACAACCACACATTCTCCGAACCAAAAATGAGTTTATTTAGCAGACATTAACCTAATTGAAAGCGACCAAGCAAGCAAACAGACAGAATGAACGATATAGACGTTGGCTATGGGGTTAAATGTTTGAGGAGGCAAGAAGAAAAAATCATCGGAAATGATTATATGTATACGGTCGAACCAATTAAAATGATGAAACAAAAAGAAAAATCATAAAATCAACATAAAACTAAAAATCCCCTTATTGACCCCCCCGCGCGCGCTTTTGACGCAAGACGAAATCACGCACATTTTATACGAACCTATACACTTTATGGATAGACTAAATGACATTAGCGCCCATAAATTACGACAATATAATAATCACGCAATACATTGCACGACGGATGGACGGTTGTATTTGCGATTCGTTTTGGTTTTGTGTTAATTCAAAAAGTCATTAGCGAGCGAAGAAATTTGTTTCCTTATGCTCGAAAAATAACAAGTTTTGGTACTTGTACTACTTCCGAACCACAGTCATTGCGAGTCCCTTAACCTTATGCCCTCGAATCATAATGTAAATAGAGGAAGAAGAAGAAGAAAAAAGCGGTAATGCGAACCGAAGCACACGATCAGAACTTAACGACAGACCAACATTTGTGCTTCTATATTCGATGATATTATCTATTGTTATATTTTCGGGGCACTTTGGTGTAATATAATGATTTGATGTGCTGCCGTTTTTTTCGAACTACGAAATTCGTACTCAATCATATTTTTGTTAACGCAAAAATATAAAATTCGCTCACTTTAATGATTATGTACTTATTAGCCCCGGAGACATTTTTGTAAAATAAAGTGTTTGTGTGTGTGCTGACAAGTGCCGTCACGACGCGCGAAAAACTGTGTGTTTTAATAGCGTTATGCTTTTATTTCATTAGACTTTCGTGTTGGGAAATATACTTGATCGTATTTATTTGCGGTTTCCCCATCGTTTTTTTTTTATTTTATCGTATTAAGAGATTCGTTTCGTTAATAAGCAGAAAATTAATAGAATTTTAATTGGCTGTGTGTAAAATGTGTGTAGCAGATAAGTATTAAACGAAAAACTTTTCCTTTTTCCGGGTTTAAATGTGTTAATTTTATGTGATGTTTATTGGTACAGAATATGTGATTTCAAACAAGAAATCTTAACTCAAACGTACGAGAACAGAGAGCGGCTCATATTTGAAGGCATATTATTTCAAATCGGTAATGCTTACATAAAATGCATTCACCACATTTGGCGTTAAGAATATGCGCTTTTCACGCGTATTATATGCTTAAGCTCATTTAAAATAGATTGTAGAACGTCATCTTATTTAAAATAATTCAAGAGGAATCAAACATTTTACTTCATCGGATTATTACGGTCTTTTTCGGAATTTATTGAAATTCTATGCTATAATAATTCTTGTTTATCCTCCGTTTATTATTATTTTTATTCATATTTTGTAGTTGTTAAGTTATTTGAATTTTGAGTACAATCTGCGAAATGTTGGAAATGAGTTGTTCCTTTTGCTTCGTTGACGTTATTTATTTATTTAGTTTGTTTTCGTTTTTTTTTTGTCGTTTTGTCTTTCTTCCCTCCTTGTCAAACACTCCGACGCGAGATAAATTTGTTGGAAATATTGTGAATGAATGAAAAAGTTGTGTTGAAATCGCTCGAATAATGCATAGTCAAGCATATTGTTGAATAAATGTTGATAATAATGTCGATGACAACACACAGCCAATAACAACAAAATGCAAAAACAAACGCGTGCAACAACCAATCGAAAGAAAAACATCAAACAAAGACTAAGAAATGGTCAACTAAATGGTGGAGACAGAATATTATTCAGAATGTGTTGAAGGTAAACGTCGTTGGCCAAACCAATCGACCGAACCGCTTGAGTAAGCGCGCCGCCAACTATGTTATCCGTTACGCGATAGTGAGGGGTGGGAGTTGGGGGGTCATAGTGAGTGAAATAAAGTTGCGAACAACAGTTAGTTTGTGCGATTGCACTGTCTCCCTCAGCGCACCCGGATTTCTTATCCCTCTTCTTTCATTTTCATCGACAAGATTATATGTTTGTGCTGTTAAAATATATATTTATATATGAGAAGAAATTGATAAAGACTTGTGGCGCCGTGAAAGTTTTTGAGCGTTTTTATCGAGCATCTTGCTGCTCCTGCTTACTTTTCCGATTGTCGGTGGTGCTACCGAAACCTCTGCTATTGATGTAAGTATTATTGTTGTTCTTTTTCCCTGCTTTTTCATCGTTTTCATTTTTGTTTTTGCACTGGATTTCTCCCTCTCTTCTTTACGTCACTTCTTTCATATATATTTTTTTTTTCTTTCTTATTTTTGTTCTCCATCCGAGAAATTTATTTTTATTTTAGCATTTCACTTTGGGTATTATATTTGCCTGTTCAATCTAATGTGAACGAGAAATTTTCTTTCATTTCCTCTTTACTGTTTGTCGTGTATTATGCTCCGACCATATTACGGAAACATATAAAAAAAAATGCGAACAGAATAAATTCGCGGGCGCACATAGCCACCATCAGCCCCGAAAAGGAAAGAAAAATGAGAGTGCGAGAGTTCACTTATGTTTGAGTAACGTTAAGTCGTCATCATGGCCAAAATAATTTCAAGTACATAAATGCCAATGTTCGGGAATGCCTTCTTGCCGCGATGAGACACACACACATAGTGAGAAATTGAGAGAAAGAGAGAGAAAGAGAGAGAAAGAATGAAATGAAACTCCGTTTGAAAATCGAAAAAATGTACACCGATCGTTTTTCTATATGTTCCCAATAAATTTATCGATGTATAAATGCGATATGTACAATGTTTGCGCAAGAACCACTGAGACAGAATACATTATTCACCATTGAATGATGAAATTTATAAAGTGGAGTAAAAATGAAAATTTCATTTCGGTATTTTTCGGTGTTCGCTGTTGTGGGTGCATGTTGTTGGCCACATTTTTCTCTGTTCTTATACACTTAAGCATAAATCGAAAATGGTATGCCTTGTGAAACCGATAATTTTCTACTTTTATCTACGAATATATCATACCTTCGAATGAGGCCGAACGCTCTGTTCGGTAGTTTGAGAAAGAAACAAGTGCGTTTTCATATTTTACATATAAATTGTTCAAATCAAGCGAAAGATCACACAGCGTGTATGATATTTCACGGGGCATGATTTGTGTAAACTGCATATGCAACCCAGCATGAG